CCCCCCCCCCCGCACCCTGAATAAGGAGGTTGAGCAGCGTATAGATGTTCGCTCGGAAAGAAGTATTATACGCGATTCTGAGTGCGAAATGCTAAAATCCGTTGAGCGAAAATGCAGTTGCGTTTTATTTGATGAAATTCCAAGGTGTTTTTCTCTTCAGTTCTACGGTATCGAATTTACGATGATTACTGGTGCAGCAGCTGACACCTCAGTCAGAGAACTTTAAAATAGCGTGGTTGATCTTTCTTACCATAAATAATAATGAGTCTACTCCTAAATCGATTTAGTACTTATGTTCCAATACGTAAACGGCTCAGAATACCGCCTTGTCCTAGGGTTTACAATAGAATTTCTCCGTTCGCTTTAGCGGAAATTTTAAATGCCCAGTGTCCGGGATTATATTCCAGGGACCTCATTAACATCTTTAATAACCTGCCTAAATTTAGATGGTGAATGTTTTGGTTAGACCAATTCAGTTTTTCACAGGCACCAGGAACTGTTGATGATTTTAGTTGTGGGGTTCACTCCTTGGGAGATCGTTAAATCCCCACTGATAACCGTCGGCTGTATAGCTCAAGGGTAAGGGTTTGAAGTCCCAACCCGAAAGATCACGGTGCGAGTCCTGACAGGGACACAAAAAGTGCGTCCCAAACAGGACGCAACAGCTGTCCAATACTCTTTGTTGGTTATCACAAACACGCTTCAATGTTTTCTGCAAAAGTTAAAAGGACAGAAGACTGCAGCCTCCGAAATTTAAGAAAAAGTATATATAATTAAAAAAAATTCCTTCTTTTTTGTTTATTGCTTATAGAAATGTACAATAAACTTTTAGGAAGAGGATTGCGATCAAACAGCAACTGTCTGGGGACATACTGATAAGGGGAAAACTCTATTTGCTCATCAATCAACACACAAACTCGTTTTCACACGCTGAATAGTCAAGAAAAAAATTAATTCGTGTTAACCGGCATCTCAGTGTTTGTGGGTTGAAGCGGCAAACCACATATAAGAGACACTGCGATGAGAGGTGTGATGTTCAGTCGGGCGACAGTGAAACTTCAGAACATTTCAAAACGTTAGCAATAACAATGAGACGGATGAGTCTATTTGATGTGCCGTGATTTTTTATCATAAGCTCGCCCATCACACGAACCCTGTTGGTATGCATTTTTGAAGGGGTTTCAGGGATCGGAAAAAGGACATGTAAAAATGGATGAAGGACGAGAGAAGACGATGCACATACACAGCAAAGATGGGAAGTATCAGTGCTTAAGTTTAGTAGTATAAAGAAAGCAAAACTAAGTAGCTTTTTCCATGGGGTTTTCAACTCTGCTCGATCCTGCTTCCATGATGATATTTTCAATTCTAGGCGCTACACAACTGAGAGTTTCAAACGGGCATCACTCGTTCTCGGGTTCCGACTGGGTAGTAGAAGTGGATTGCCAATGTTGACATTTTCGTCTACCTAAGGCCTGAGCCCACCTGTCAGCTACTGATCGCTTTGGACAGCATCACAAGTGGACGATAAGAATCCGGAGACGGCGAATGGCCACTTAGTCTAAACAGCCATCATCAGTATGAATGTCCGTAAAGGTACTTGGTAGGACCGAACAGTCATCGATGCCAGGTAAGCAAACAGGCAGGCTGGTTAGGGTTGCACACAAAAACTGGTGTCTATTTCGTTCGTCACCGAACCGTTTATTCGCAGTGGGGTATTGTGAACTTCTTCTGTTCCTCGCAAGTAGAACCACACGTAAACGTTCCGAACAAAGTAGCCAGTAGATAATAATCACTAGAATGTGTCTTCAGCTCAGATGGGCAACATTTCGCGCAATCCACTGGATGTGCTTATGGGTAACACCGCCTGATGTACTGTGGGGAACATGGAATGAAAAACCCCAATTGAATCACGGATAGGCGAGACGTTTGGCTTTTTTGTCCAATAACGTTATCGCTGAAAAGTGCTCGCATCAGAAGCCACAGGGGCTATGCACACTTGATCTAAGCAACTCTCCTGGCCTCAGTCTAATTGCCAAGGGGGTATTTGACAAATTTAAAACCACATGGACTGAGAGAAATCAAATAAGCAAGGAGCCCCTCGCCCACGAGATCACCTTTTATCACAGCCACTGATTGAGGAAACGTTTGTGTACTGATCTGAGGTAAACGATGAGATCGTAAAAGAAAAAAACAGTGTTCATGAGACCGCATAACATTAGGTTCATTCCTTCAGAAGTTCAAGTAGGAAAATATTAAAGAAGACCCTTGGAGGTGACAAACGAAGAATAATCTATGGGACATGAAAATAGCTAAACGCGCAGTACACAAACACAGAATATTATGGTAGCGGAAACCGTCAAAACCTAAAACCTGCAAAATCCACCCACACCCCCGCCCCCAACATAAAACATCCTCTCTTCTGTGTTTCCATGCGGAGCTAAAACCGTTCCTCCTTTCCGAAGGATGAATCTACAATTGTATTCGATAAAACGGAAAAAAGATTATTATTTTGACTAGAAGGTAACAAAGAAAACAAAGAATTTTTTGGGAGGAACACAAAAAGTGGACTTCAACTTTAACGGTGCACGCTGCTCAAACACAATGAATCCCAGGGGAAAAAAGCGGGTTTCCCGGTATAACTTTCAACATCAAGTCCTATCACAATACACAGAGAGAGAGAGGGTTGGTCAACAACCATCAAAAAACGAACGTAATACCCGTTCCCTATGAACTGAAAGCTCAGTTACAGGACAATCGCTTGATATTGATAAACCCTAACACAGGGCAGTAAAAGATTTTTTCGACTGATAAATTCCAACTGATAAGCGCCAAAAAAATGAACGGAACCGCCCATAGTAAACTCTAAGGTGCACCTGAAAGAGCAAACCGCATCTAATCGGACGGTGACTGTTGGACATAATCCACAGGAAACTGTGTGTGTAAGTCTGGACAGTTCTAGACGAGTACGGGGGATACGATAAAACCAGTTATGAGGATGAGAGCGATTTGCCTGAAACCTGCTGGAAATAAAAGCAGCGATCTAGAACTAATACCCGTACCAGCAAGAAGAGCTACACTCAAATTACGTGATTGCATTTGCAATCAAATGGAACGTTTTGGAACCATCAAGAATAGTTCACTCAAGGGAATCAACCGATATGTGGATAGCAACTCTTCTGCATTTTTTTCCGACAAATGAATAATAACGAGAACCTGAACAAAGAATAAATTTTATGTCGTTTTTGTCGCCAATCTTCTCTAGTCAAACTCACAAT